AATGTTACAAAATAATGTAACCACCATATTTTGACAATATAATGCATTCTCCAGCCATCAGATACTGATCGAACAGAATCACCTGTAGTACCTTAACAAAGGTTCCCGCCATAGGCGCATCATGTTGTGAATGTATTTCGACCAGTTGCTGTGTCCTTTCCATTGGGGTTGCAAGAGACTAACCGTGGGTAGAGGTTACGTTGTAAATTTTTTTGTTGTTCAACCCTTGAATGATTTGAACTCTGGTGCACTGATCTCAAGCAACACTACAAATAACTATTACCCAATAATAATTCATTATCCTGGTGACAAGGGGCCCGATCGAACACAAGCACCTGTGGGATCTTAACCAAGGTTGTTACAAAATTGCATTAATTAATGAATGAAGCTTGATCAGTTGCGTTTGTCTTCCCATTGAGTCTGTGATACACTAATCAGGTTATATGTTGACCATTTCTTTCAAACCTGGTAGAATTTGAAATCAGATGTACTGTAACAGAAACAGTACTACAAGTAACGGGTACAAATTAATATGTTAGTATTTTTAATTATTTGGAAAAAAGCGGGTAGAGTAATCAACACTGTATTCTACAGGATTGAAAATAAAATAAATGTGTTGTATCCGGAATACGACTGAATTCACAAATAGATGATCACGGACTATTATTTACTATTATTCAAAGTAGGAGTTTGAGTACAGATTTCATGAAGTAATTTACATCAGCCTTGCAGACTCGCAGTGTCTTACTTTATGAGGAAGTCTGTTCAAAATATCTTTATATTGTTTACTTTTTATCAGATTTACAATGTAACTAATAAAACAAAAGACCTCAAGTATGAAATAGCTCATTTGTCTTGGGAGTCAACAACACAATAAAACATAGTACTACATTCAGTTGATATAAAATAGTAGTTGAAGCAAGGAAAAATAAAACTAAATGTGTTCTCATGAACCATAGCTACCTACTGACATTTTTTTGGGAAATAAAAATATTATTTCATGTAAAGCAAAACAAACATTTAAGCTCATAATATATTTTTATAACTTTTTTATATGGTCCGGCTGGCAAATTTACAACGTACCTAATAGATAAGTGAATTCCTGAGTATCATTTAATTTCTTGTACTTCCTTCTATGCAAAGAATAACAATACCCCCTAATTTGGTGCTGGTGTCGATTTGTATAACATTAAACCTGGACTTGTTACTGTAACTGCTAATCATAAAAATATGCACATTGCAAATTAACACGTTTCTAAGGAGCCCAGGTTTTTAAAGTGATTGAAACACTTTGTCAACCATGGCTAGAGCACCTGTCACATCAGAATCCCTTCCAGATGAAATTAATGAAGATTTCCTCAGCTGTTCCATCTGTTTGGATATCTACAAGAATCCTACAGTTCTACCATGTCTGCATACATTCTGTCAGCAATGTCTGGTAACTTTAAAGGCTAAATCTGGAGGTGTTTTGAAGTGCGCTACATGCAGAATTCAGTGTGACACTCCCATCAAGAAACTGAAGTCCAACTTGTTTTTATCGAGCTTACTACACACATACCAGACACGACTGAGCCTTGACCATTCACATGTGTGTGAGATATGTCAAGAGAAGATCGCAACTCACAGGTGTGTAGACTGTCTTCAGTTCATTTGCGACGAATGTTTTACTATTCATAAACGTATACCAACTCTCCGTTATCATGAAGTGCTTACAATTGCCAAGTACAAGGAGATAGAATCCAGGGGTCATTTAACAGTACAGTCTAAAGTTATCTGCAGTGTCCATAAAGACAGCGATTTAGAATTCTACTGTGAAACATGCCAGGTACCTGTCTGCTACAAGTGTACTAAAGTTAAACACAGAATTCCTGCACATAGGCATAGAGATTTACAGGAGGTAGCAGATAAATATAAAACACAACTGAGGGAAATGTTAGGATTGTTAAAAGTGAAAGAGAAACAAGCAGAGGCAGGAAAATCAGCAGATGAATCTGCAAGAGCAAAAATCAGAGATCAGTGTGAGGCAGAAAAGAGGAAAGTTATAACAAGAGCAAAGGAAATGACAGAGAGGATACAGAAAGAAGGTAAGATGTTGATAGATGCCCTGGATAAAAAAGCCCGGATGGGATTAAAAGATGTGGAAATGAACATTGACGAGAAACAATTTAACCATGGCAACATAGTAAGCATGCATCATTATCTAGAAACACTGCTGCATCATGGGAATTCTGTTCATCTGCTATCTACCAGGATTGAAACTATGAAGCGCATAAACGAGATGGTTGCTATGGAAATAAAACCGCCAATCACTCATGATATCACCGAGTTTCAACCAGGAAGTGACCTTGCTGCACACGCATTGATGGGGGTGATCAAATCAGACGTCTGTCCATCCAAATGCACAGTTGAAAACATTCCGAAACAACTCCTGAAAGGTGAATCCGTCAAGCTGCTCATCACTACCAGAGATTCCAGAGGAATGAAGACTATTTCCCGTAAAGATGTTAAAGTGAAAACAGGTAATCCTTATGCCTTGTGGGATAACACTGATGTAACGTGCAATAAAGATGGGACATTTAATGTGGTAATAACAGGTAGCAGAGCAGGAAGACTGCAAATTGCCATGAAAATCGGTCACCAACAAATATTAAGATCTCCATTATACATTGACATTATAAATGGATTAGTACAGACAGTAGGAACAACAGGAAGCGAAGGGAAGCTCAACCGGCCAATGGGACTAACAATTAATAAACATGGTGACTTTGTCACAGCTGATTACAAGGACAACAGAGTAACAATTCATGACAGAGACGGAAATTACAAACAATCATTCAGATTTACCGAGCGATTTGCAAAGCCATTCAGACCATGGGATGTAGCAATATCAGATGATAATGAATACTTTATGTTAGATCATAATAACAGACAAGTAGTTGTGAGTGATGTGAACGAAAAGTTAATTAGATGTTTCGGATGTCCCCAAATTGATAATCCATGTGGAATTGCAATTAATCCTGTTAATAAGAATGTGTATGTGAGTGAATGGAATGGAGATTGTATTAGAAAGTATACACATAGAGGTGTGTATATTAAGTCTTTTGGGGATAGCGGAGACAAGCAGGGAGAGTTCATTTGCCCTTGTATGCTAGCTATTAATAGTAAGGGGTTGGTGTATATACCAGATTGTTACAACAACCGTATTCAGGTATTCAATTCTGATGACCAGTTTATGTTTGAATTTTCCTCCAATGGTGACAGTCCAATGAATCGTCCCAAAGGAGTAGCTATAGATAAGAATGATTATGTATATGTAAGCAGTTTACATGAGGTCACAAAGTATGACAGCTATGGTCAGTTCATTTGTAGGATTGACAGTGATAATGATGCACTGAGTTCTCCATGGGGTGTAGCATGCAATGCTGGAAGAGTAGCTGTAGTGAGCAGGGGCAATGATTGCATCAAAGTGTTTGTAGAATGAAGGAAAATTGTAGAATTTGAATTTATGTATTAAGAGTTATTTATTAGTATTCCCTATACATGTTAACTGTGGTCGGCATTTCTTAGTCCCTGTGAAGCAGTACATGCCATTGTTGTGTATGTAGCCATGATACTGAGTTATACTCCTGTGATGTCACCAGTACATGTTCAACCTGACCAGAAATCTACGTGGATAAAATGTCTCACGCATGGTAAAATTAAGCAAGAAGGGAGTAGAATGACTATATATTTTCGGGCAGCTTTGACAATTTCATAAATTTTTGGATTATCTATCCTCAAAATCTGGAATTTTGGTAGATGATAGACCCATACGAAGAAGTTTGTTATTTTCATTTTGTTATATTTATCATTCATTTTATTTTAGTTTATTTCACTCATATTAGCCATGGTATCAAACAACATGTATTTCACACGCACTTTATGTGTACTTTATATGGAATGACAAAAAGATGAAAGGAATATGGGGTATTATTAAAAGTTACAAATGTATAACAATCTATTCAGAAAGCATGACAATAGTGATAATTTCAGTTA